TGTTTCATATGTTCCTAAAATGTAACTGGCAACCGGCTTTATCTTTTGAATTTGCATAGTGAATTCTTGGTAGTTAAGTGAGACTACATGCACAGGTGAGTGTAGACAAAATACAAAGCATTCATTGCAGACCACGTCACCACATCCATTCCACTGATTGTGACCAAACCATGTCTATTTCATATGTTCCTAAAATATAACTGGCAACTGGTTTTATCTTTTGAATTTGGATAGTGAATTCTTGGTAGTTAAGTGAGGCTACATGCACTGGTGAGTGTAGACAAAATACAAAGCATTCATACTATAAAAAAAATAAGTTGCCAAAAAAAGGAGTACTCTAATAGAAGCATTGGAACAGCCTGCCCAGGGAAGTGAGTACTCTAATACAAGCATTGGAACAGCCTGCCCAGGGAAGTGGTTGAGTCACCATCCCTGGAGGTACTTAAACAACCTGCAGATGTGGTGCTCAGGGACATGGTTTCATGGTGGACTTTAGCAGTGTTAGGGTAATGGTTGGACTTGAATCTTGAAGTTTTTTTCCCAACCTAAATGATTCTGTGATTCTATATCTTGAAGTTTTTTTCCAACTTAAATGATTCTGTGATTCTATTAATTGCATTGACTAAAGAGAACTTCCCAAAAATACACATGATCTGTCATTACAGGTGGTCTGTTTCTTTTCATCTCAACATAAAAACGGGCATTACTTTTCTTCTTTATGACCTCTTCTACCAGAGAAGAGGAAACCAGTATAGCACAAGTGCAGCAGAATTCTTAGTTTTCTTTGATTACATAAAAATGCTTGCACAGTGTCATTCTGTTTCTTTTCATCTCAACATAAAAACTGGCATTACTTTTCCTCTTTATGACCTCTTCTACCAGAGAAGAGCAAACCAGATATAGCACAAGTGCAGGAGAATTGTTAGTTTTCGTTGATTACATAAAAATGCTTGCACAGTGTCAAAAGAAAACGGTGGATTTATGTTTTCTTTTCCTATCTTTTTTACACCTGTCATGGGAGAATAGCTATTCCTTACAGTGGTTTTTGATTTTCAGATTCCAATTCATCCCCCGAAGTGGGTGCAAACTATCCCTACAGTGCATTTGTAGCCTCAGGTACATGACAAGTTTCCTTTTTGAGCTTATCTTTCACACAGCCTTTAAAAAGGACTGTGCACCATTTCAGGTTACTATTTCCACGTATTGCATTTGTATTCTAAACAGTTCTTCTGTTAAAACTAGGGAGAAAAGGGATGATCTTGCTTCTAAAATGTGATATTTTGACTTCAGTACCAGGCAGTTCATGTCTAGAAAAAAAGAACTGGGTAAATATTGCCTGAATTGTATTGCATTTGTATTCTAAGTAGTTCTGTTAAAACTAGAGAGAAAAGGGATGACCTTGCTTCTAAAATGAGATGTTTTGACTTCAGTACTGGGCTGTTCAAGTCTAGAAAGAATAACTGGGTAAATATTGCCTGAATATGGTTATAAACACTCGTTTGATGTGAACTGTCTATCCCAGCAAATAGCTTTCTGTGTTGTTTCAGAGAGGTTCTTTGTAAGTGGAAGAGACTGAATGGGAAGCAGGCTCAGTGAGCACGTATTGCATTTGTATTCTAAACAGTTCTTCTGTTAAAACTAGGGAGAAAAGGGATGATCTTGCTTCTAAAATGTGATATTTTGACTTCAGTACCAGGCAGTTCATGTCTAGAAAAAAAGAACTGGGTAAATATTGCCTGAATATGGTTATAAACACTCGTTTGATGTGAACTGTCTATCCCAGCAAATAGCTTTCTGTGTTGTTTCAGAGAGGTTCTTTGTAAGTGGAAGAGACTGAATGGGAAGCAGGCTCAGTGAGGGCCTGTCGAGAGGGAGCACACTGGTGTCCAGCTTCCTTCCAAGTGTCCTGATCATCCAGTCAAGCACAGATAATGTCATTTGGCTCAGGCAGGCCCATGGATGACAAACAGCAAATTGCAAGTGATTCAACACAAGACAACTCTTCAGATGTGTTCTGTAAGCACGTTGCTACTGATCACCCTCAATTTCAAAAACCCCCAAATCATTTACAGAATAAGGGGCAATATTAATTATTCTGTATGAGTCACTCAGCAAGCTCAGACTCCCAAAGGACCTCGGCTTGGCAGGACACCAATATACAAACCACCTGGCCTGCCACTGAATGTCTTAGAGCTGGTTTCTATAAATGACTGCATTTAGAAGAATTTGAAGGAGCTTGTTTGATGGTGCAACGCATCATCTAATCTTCTTGTACATCAATTAGTGCATAATTATTTGGCATAATCTGACTATCACTTCTCATTGGTCCATTCAATAGTGGGAAAAAATGGAGTAGGACAGAGGTTTAAATAAAGAAAACCTTTAGCTGACCCACCTTTTCTAATGCTGCTGCATGCAGTACTCCAAACGGATTGCTGTTAAATTATTAGCATTTCTCCACTCCATAGACTAAAATCTCACATTTTTACTTAAGAGAAATGAGAAGCCGCTGAAACAGCTGGACAAACGGCAACGATGGTATCTGCTCATATTTAAAAAATGCTTTGTAGTAGGAAGAATGGGTGTCTTAAAAAATTAAAAACCCAGGGGGCTACAGGATTTTAACTGAAATCTGTGACTTGCAGAGCAACGCTACAGATTGCCAGCACAGAATCCATTTGCCTGAGGAGTTGCTTGAGTCCATTTTGCATTACAGTGTTTCCATGCAGGTAATATGCTTGCAAATGTCCATTCCCCTCTCTACACCCGTACAGCCCTTGTTCAGGAAATTATTAATTCCAGCCTCTACACCCGTACACGTCTGCAGCCCTTGTTCAGGAAATTATTAATTCCAGCAGGAGGAAGAATGGGGCCAAATAACCTAGTTAGATTAAAATGAAGTCTGATAGTTTAAAATAAACCACACTTGCCTTTGATAGAAAGGGACTGGACTGAGAAAACAATTACACGGTAAGTTACTACAGTCCCAATCACAAAGTAGACAGCTACACTAGGATGACAAAGGCTTATTATCTTACTATCACAGGGTATTATTATTAATACCCTTATTATCAGCACATTTCAGGCATTATGATGTGACCTCCAGCCTGAACTACCACGCTCTGCATTTTACTGTCAGCAAGATAAAGCTCAAAAAATATTTCACAAGTGCAAATTCTTAAAGCATCATTTTATCAAAATAAAAGTTACCATGTTAAATATTTACAAGTATTTTTCCACATCAAAATATCTTAACATTTGATAAGGCAGCTGGTGGCTGGGTATCAGGTATTTCTGTCTTCAGAAGTGCTGGGCAGGCATCAGGAAGAAGCAAAAGACACATGAGAGCAGAAGCCCAGATTTTGGAACCTCACCGGTGTCTGCTCTGCTTAGACAGTGCTCCAAAACATCACTTCCAGGGGTGATTTCCCGTGGCATCTGGTGTGTATTTTCTAAAGAGGTGCTGGATGAAGACTAAATCACTCACTGCTGTAAGCAGTTGCACGGCTGCCTTGCTAGCAAATGAAGAGGGGTTTCCCACATTAAAGTGCGAGTGTGTGCATTAATATTTCTTCAAAACCAGTAATTTTGTTTCTAGCTTCTGAAAAGCAGCCTCAAACAAAGTAGTAACATACTATGAACCAACTGGGGTAACCAGTGGAGGCAGAGGATGAGCACAGGAACAGTGTCACATATTACCGTGTGTTAAAAACACCCCTTTCTAATAAAAATAAAGATAGCTGGGAGATTTGAATAACAGAGGTTTTCCAAAAGTATTAACTCTGGTTGGTCAGTTCCCAATAGAAATGACACTTCAGTGTCCTGGGGAATTTACAAACACGCTCAGTTAAACTTCCCAGCATCAATCAGCATCAATGCCCCGGCACACGCACACTCTTTCCTCCTCCCTTCTCACAAGCAGGATCCATCACAGGTTCATGCAGCCCAGACCCCGTCTATTTCTGAGCCAGACTGCGAGGAAGCAGTGTCACAGCTGTGCTAGTGCAGGTGGCCTGGCACCACATCCACCTCTCCCACATGCAGGTACGGGGGTTTGGCAGCACAGGGTGCAGTCCGAATCATCCATCCCCCAAGCTCAGCTGTTACTGGACTCACGATGCCCAAGCGTTCACCTAAAAAAAGTGGTTGGGAGCATGTCCAGTAAAACAACTCAGGTTAACCCCCAATTTGCTACTTAAACATAACAACTGAAGGATGGTATTTCACAGATACTACCACCTATGGGAGTACATTGAGCATCCTGCCGCAGGTCAGCTTATTAAAAAAAAAATAATAAATCCTAAGACACTAAAGAAACCCTAACAGCAAAACTATCCCCCAAAATCCTGTAAAATGGTATTCTAGGAAGTCCATGACATGGCTTTTCCTTAAGTTTCAGAGGAAACAGTCACTCAAGCCAGATGTTCTTTCAGAACATGCTGCCGCACACTGAAGAAATGGGTTATACGTAAAAGTTAAAGTGCTTTAATAGATTGTTGCATAATCATCTCAGTTAAAAGAAAAGTAAATCATAAAAAAGGGGTGAAAAGAAAATGGGGAGGCAGCCCGGCTACTGAAAAATTCATAGGTTTCAGTGACTTCAAGTGTTCTAAGAAATTTTGATCATAAAAAACGTTACATCTCTGTTTAATGTAAATTTTCCAGTTATGTCAAACTAGTTGCCAGACCATGCTAACTAAGTTAAAGTGCTTTAATAGATTGTTGCATAATCATCTCAGTTAAAAGAAAAGTAAATCATAAAAAAGGGGTGAAAAGAAAATGGGGAGGCAGCCCGGCTACTGAAAAATTCATAGGTTTCAGTGACTTCAAGTGTTCTAAGAAATTTTGATCATAAAAAACGTTACATCTCTGTTTAATGTAAATTTTCCAGTTATGTCAAACTAGTTGCCAGACCATGCTAACTAGTAAAATATCTTTGTTTTAAAAAATGATTAGTACTTCTGTAACAATGGGGAAATCACATTGCTAAGATGGTTTACCTTGTTTTATTTCTGCAGGTTTTACTCTTTCTCGTGCAGCTGATTTCTCCCCACAGGATTTCGACCTTTATTACTTGCTGACAACACATCTGACAAATAGCTTTTTGCTGTGGTAGCTGAGGTTGAGCCATCTGTTTTTTCTCTAGAGAGCCATGCCTTATTCATAATGGCATTTTTCTGTTTCATTCCCTGGGGAATAGCACCTGCATGCTGATTTCCTATTTGACCCCAAAATACATCATCACATTTCGACAACCGATCCCTCCCCTTCATGGCCCAGAAAGCATCACACTCCGGAGGCACCAGTGCATCCTTCATCCTTGACTGCAGAGGCCAAGGGGCTTCCTTGTGGATCGTGGGCAGGTTGCAGCCATGATCTTTCAGGTCTGAGGTGGAGGAGACAACTGAAGGTATCTGAGGAGGAAAGAAGAAAAGGAAACATAACCTCAGATGTCCCAGGCTACTCTGTGTGTTTTGGCTGTAGCTTCACATATAATTGTACAGTAGGCCTGTGTCATGCTCTCACTGGGATTAAATTAAAGCACACATGATGCATATTAAAAAAAAATAAATCCTGGAGTTTAAAAAGATCAGGTAAATCAAAGAACTACTCACATTCTGCTCTCACTAATGATTTTTTTTAATGACGATATTGTCATTGATTGCATATAAAAAGTTATATGCGATCAGGTTTTGAGCTGTCACATATATCCCCTGAACTAAATAAAATAATTTGAATTTCACATGTTACTGGCATTCTGAGTCACCACTTAATTGCATAATAAATTTCTTAACTAAAAGGACATTTCATCTTACATGATTTTTTCAACTATTAATGCCAAAAGCAGAATCTATCCTTTTACATGTTTCATTATTTTAATCCAAGATTATAAAGAAAATTTGGTAGAGTAATATTTGTAACCACTCTAGCTAACCGGCTCCAGTAATTGCATACTTGAATTTTGTTTCTCTACAATCATGGAGAGGTTATGTTGTCTCAGAGAGGGTGAAATCTCCTGTGTGTTTAGTTTAGCAGCAGACTGTCACAAATGCAATTGCAATTGATCAGCTCTGTTCTTAACAGGATTCCTGCAGTTAATGGAAATTACTATAAAGAGCTTCAGGGCATAGGAATAATTGGATCACTAAAATAAAAAAGAATTGGAGGAAAAAAAGGTAGGACAGTATCAACATGATAACTTTTTATTTTTTTAAATGTCCAACAATTTTCAAAGACGGTCTTACCAGAGAGCATACTATCATGAACACAAAAATTTTTAATTGTTTTTACATGCCCCAAGCCATTCCTAAACAATGGGCAAGAAAATGTATAGTGAAAAACATTAAGCATTTATTACCCTCAGCTTGTTTAAACTAACAATCAAGTGTGCATCTCTGGAAGCAATCATTCAAATATCTGTATGATCTGTTAAGTGACTGCCAAGAATAATAGATTTCACTAAAGGAGAAACAATGGCAACATTTTTACTGACCTGGCAATTTTTGCGCTGGTTTTGTCTTAGTTCTCGATGCAAGGCTATGATCCTCTCTGGACTTGTTAATTTTTTAGGAGAACCGGCGTATGCATTTGGAGTGATGTGAGAGCTGTGGATGCTCTCCACCTCTTGCTGAGAGTTTGCAGGTATTGACCCAGTCTTCCCATTCACTTTGACATATGTCTGACGATCCTCTGGCTGTCCGCTGGCCTGTGAAATGTCTGTGGAAGAAGGCAGCATCTGCAAGAGAAAATACTGTTTTAAGAAATTCAGGCTAGATAAAGATTTCCAGCTCTGTTTATTTCAGATTGGTGGAAGCCACTCGGATGAATTCCTTACAATAAATGTTCACACAAATTAAATGTAAAGAAACTATATCTTTACCAAAATAAGAAAAAGGATAATATATCAATTACTTTACACCTGAAACATTCCTGCATCTGTCTAAAATGGAGTTCTGTATTCATCAACTCTTCCCCAAAACTAAAAAAGTCTCTAAGCTTTAACTACAGCTAAAATTTGCAACTGGATAAGAAGAAAAACTAGGGGAAAAAAAGTAGAAAAAAATACTTGTTTTAAAAAATGCGTGTTAGTTCTCCTCTTAAAGAATCCCAAAATTTCTAACATGATTCTTTTACATGCATATTCTCTCACTCCACACTACACAACAAATTCAGGCTTTTGTACCTACATCATGCTCAAAAAAATTAAGCTGTACAGACTTCAAAAGTGTATTAGTTTAACTGCATGAACTCTTATACAGGCCCTCCTATTGTGAATCAAAATAATATTAACTCAGTGGATCTTATTTCACCTCCAAATCAATTTTAACACAACAAACATTATCCTTCTTGAATATCTTTGCTGAACTGAAGCCAAATTAGGAGAGAAATGGCAGCTGTTTAATTTTGCACCTTTTCATAACAGTTGTAAGCAGGAAAAGAATGTCTCCCTGAACATAAATGACTATCACAAGGCTGTAGCATTTTACCATCCAAATACAAATTTATTAAAGCTACAAGATCAACGTTTCATTTTTTTTCTGCAATTGCACAGAAAAACAAACAGAAGATTGTTAATGACAGTTTCAGCCTTTGAGTTTTTAAAAATTTATTTATTTTGAAAATTGATACATTTGATTATGAGTTATCACCTCATTGTCATTAGTTCTCTTGCAAAAGCTCCAGAAAGGCAAATACTATAAATATACCAGGTCAGGAATGGTTGCTTAATATAAACCACATTTTGTTTAAAATAAAAAATTGGTTTTGCTCTGTACATCTTTGATGAGCATCAACTGCATCAGTTGTGACCATTAAAAAGAAATAAATCAAAGGATTCTGAAATGCTGTAGCGGTGTAAGATTGCTCTGGTGACCCCTCCAAGCATTTATTGACCTGCTTATACATCAAAATACAATTCTATGATGGCATGAAGAAGAATGTATGGTACATTAGCTGTTGCTATTGCCAAGAAAAGAAATCTTGCAGGAGTGATCGCTGTGAAGTTTTATGAGAGTGATGCTGCTTGCAAGCAGTTCAAGAGCAGCTGTGACACCAGAGTTAGAGGGTACAGGTCTCAGTGGTGCTGTACTGTCCCATCGCCTTGGAGGTGACACTGAATCCCAGCTGCTGATGTGTACAAGCTAGCCAGACCTGAAAAAGCTCATCACTCTCATTTCCTGCTTGCAAAACAACCCTCAAAGCTCATGGGCTCCCTGAAGTATGTGCCTTGTGATTCTGAAGTACACCAACACACTGGTAACTCAGCTCGTAGGGTCCGGAGGGTGGGCTGTGCCAGTCCATCTGTAGACCCCGTGTGCTGCAGGACAGACCCTTCCTCAGGACACACCACGTGAGAGAACATGAGTGGTAAATGCAAAATTCATCCCATTTCACCTTCTGTTCTTGGCTCCCCACCATGAGAGGAGAGAACCAGTGCTGCTGAATTCTGGCCATTGGTCCTGTTAAAAGTACCAAACACAAGCATGTTTTCGGACAGCTGAGACCTTCCCCAGAAACGTCTACCACCTGGCACATTTACTTCAGGCTGAGCAACAGGCCAGGAAACAAGACAGTGACATCCAGGAATGGAAGGGCCACACATATTGGCCAACTTTGGGCACGTAATTTAAGTTGCCACTCTTCCCTAAAAGACTTTCTGTACACTGATTACGGAGGGAGTCTGTGACACTATCTGGATAGTGCATTTATTTAGCTAGGGCAGCATGAATAGCCAATCATATCCTAACATCACAGGCACAGATCAGTTGGAAAGTGAACGCTATACATTTGGATGCTCCCCTATGATAACAGAAGCCAAAGGCAGCTGCAGAAGTCCTTGGTTTCTAACCAAGGTTATGAGCACAGTATCTCCTCAGCCCTCACAAAAAATGCCAGCTGGCTGAAAGCGATGGAGGGGTTACAAAGGGCAGCCCTGAAACGTTTTGAGGCATGAAGAGACTGGATCTAAAATTATTTGATGAGAATTTCCTCACTACAGGAAGCACAGTTAGAGGCATCCCTGGTGATAGATGACAGTCAGCAGGAGCAGAACAAGTTCTGGAGCTCAGTGACCCGTGCAAAGGCAAATCACTGTCCTCCTCAATAGGCAGGGGAGCTGGTAAAGCTACCAGAAAAAAAATCACAGCACAAAATCAAAGCTGTGACACTGGCACATTGCATTTCTAGAAAAATAGCTTCCTTGCAGGGTCCATCCTTTCCTTCTATTTCCTTCAATTATTCAGCCCACAAACTCTTCTGCCTCTTGGGTTTGCCAGATTCTGCTCCAGCCAAACAAATGAAACTCAGTAGAAAGGTGGCTTAATACAAACCCTGATCAGAGAAACTGCTACCACACTGATGAAGTTTTCACACTATATGGTCTGCACTATATTTGAGATTTGGTATGATTCTGTCCAAAAAGTTTGTCATTAGTGTTTCATAAGACTCTGTGAAACACTAAAGATTGTATTTTCTATAGTGCTATGGGTAGGGATGTACTAGGGATGCCTCTAAGCAAAAATCCTGCATTTGTCTCAATGCCGAGACATTAATTTCGTCTTTTCTTGTTGTTTTTGGTTTTCAGTTTGGTTTTCTTACAATATTGATTCCATTTTCCTTTGATATTTTTTGCTTTCCTCTCAAGTTTCCACAAATTACCCCACTAGGAAGAAAAGAAAATATTGTGATATTCCACCAAACATGAAGAAGTGTAAACTTGTGTGCTGCCAACTTCTTGAAATGATTGACATTAAAAACAAAAAACATCACCTTCCCCCAACATTGCAAAAATAAAAAGTCATTCGTGTCAGAGATAAGAATAAAATGTTTAAATTAATCTAGATAGTTTTAATTGTATATTTTATCTTAAAGTCTACCATTTATCAAATAATGGAATAAAAATAAAGGAAGCTAAAGTCTACCACTTATCAAATAATGGAATAAAAATAAAGGAAGGTTAGTTTTTAAAGTTTTTCTTTTCTTAAGCATGGCTATTCCTTGCTTGCATTTGCTGTTCTAGACAAACGCATGCTGTTGTCTATGAATTAGAGCAAAAACCACTGCTAAAATATCTGTATTATGTATGTAGTCAGGAAACAGATCTAAATCTTTGTCAACCAAACCCTATTTTACTTTAAAACCTTGAGTATTTACCTTCTCCTCCAACACCACAAATTCTTGAGATACCCTTTGTATAAACAGCCATTTAAATAATTATTGAACAGCTTTAGCAGTTATTTCACTGGAAAGGCCAGGCTGCCCTTAACTGTTTTTAATCTGCATTTTATACCCTTCAGTATTTTTAATAATCTTTCTGAAGGTCAAAAATAACATATCTGTCAGAAATGGATTATACCCCTCTTTAAAATAATTACTAAATAACAACCACCATCTCCTCTCTTTCATCCCTTAGAATTCCAATGATTCAGGTCACATTTTCTATAATGTCAGAAAAAGAAGCCTCTTCCTGCAAAAAACCTTTGTCTTGAAAGGTCCCTTGGTGTTGGTCAGCATTGTCCCCAAAAGACTGAAACCCCAAAGTTAAACTTGTTCTCGCCTTGAGAGTGGGATTCATCAGACTGAAGCATATCTCTTCCTGGGCTTCTTCACAACCAATGGAGTCCAGCTTCTCCAACTCTTCCCGCTATCTAAAGCAGATACTTAAAATAGGCAGGATACCTCCTTGTAAGTACCTTTTTCTCTCCACTAACTACAAAAAGAAACACCACGGATGTGATTGTCTGAAGAACTGACATCAAACATGAAATATTTCTCTCCCTCAGTGCCAGAAAAGCTTCTGATCTCACCAGTCACTCACAAATCATTTTAAGGAGAGCATCACAGAATATTATTTCAGGCCTGCTTCCTTCAAATATGATTCACGAGAAAGCAGTAAGTGGTTTCTTACAAATAAATGAGTAGGAGTAGGGGGAAGAGAAAAAAAAAAGCAAAAAGCATTGTTCTACCAAGAAGCATCTCAGAAGAAATCCCCTGATACAAAGGAGGATTAAGCTATACTGTTCTGCACATTTATTCCCTTTTCTCTGAAACAAATAATTCACTACACTGGACACATTCTTTGCCTGGAGCTTCTCATCCATAAGGGTTAAGATGACTCCATGAAAAGCAATAAAAAGCACTAGCATCTATCCCTATATTCCTTGCACAAATTCCCTCTCAACCCTGAAAATGGGGGCAAATAGCCACAATGGTTTCAGATCCACTATGGAAAGAATATATAAAATGTGTCATCAAGTCAAAGCCTTCCAGCCAAGGCAATTGAAGTGAATGAGTACAGCAGCATTATGCATTACAGCCATCAGTCAGCTGGACAGAGGCTGTTGACATAAAACCAGGACATGTTGGCTCAGTCATTTTAGGGAAAGAATTGAACATACTCCTGTTCCTCCACAGAGGCCCGGAAAGAGAGAGAAAAGGCCCCAAAATACTGCACAGCTGCACTGGCTGGGGTGAGCTGATGTAAAGGGCAAGTCAAGCTCTCTTGCTCCTCAGTGTGGTTCTCTAACATATCAAAAGCAGCATGGACATACACTTATGGACACAGTCTCACGTTCAAGCTAGTCAAACTGGGTAAAGCCTGTTTCTTGAACTGCAAGTAGACACCTAAATTCAGAAAAAAATGAAGCCTTCTATTTCACATTTCCTATTAGTTATCTGAAGGTTCTTCTCTTGTTTCCCACTGTTACCATCTCAAGTAAACCAGTTGATGCAAATCCC